GGCCAGCAGACCACTGCGCGCGCGCGCCAGGGGCCCGTCCCGGAGGATGCTGTTTCTTCCACGGTGCTGATTTCACCAAGCGAAAGTTGGATCCCCGTATTTCAGCTGGGGAAACTGAGTCTCAGAGAGCAATCTCCCCCCGCCCCCCCGCCAAGGTCACCCAGCGGGTAAGAGGAGTTACCACGATGGGGACCCCAGTCTTTTCTTTGGGACTCAAACTCCTCCCGGGTCTCCCCACCACCACCCACCAGACAGGCACGGCGGCGGCGGGGCCAGACAGCGCCGGGCCGGGCGCCGTGGGAATCAGCAACCAGGTCCCTTCCCGGGAACTTGTCCCATTGAGAATCTGTTCCCTCGCGGCCACGGGTGATGTATGGCTGGAGCTGATGAGAAACGTGCGGTGGAATGGAGGCGGGCGGCGCGGCATTGAGATTCCGCGGGGCGCGGGGGGCGGCGCCCGCCCTGACTCGGGGCCGGGTAATTGATCTGGAGGTGCCAATTTGCTGCAACTAAATATTTGGTTTCTGCTTCAGCCTGCTCCGCGCTGTGCTCAAACAAACTTCAATTAAAAGCGAAAAGCGAGGGGTGGGGAGGCGGCGAGCCCAGGTCCCCGCAGCCCCGATCGATGGCCCCGAGCCTGCGGGCTGCCAAGCGCTGCGCCCGGTAGGGGGGCGGGGACGGGGGGGGTGTGGGGGGAGGCCTCCTCCAGGCCGCGCGGGCCGTGCGGGCGGGCGGGCGGGCGGGCAGAGCCGGCGCCCTCTTCCGGATCGCCGAGCCCCGAGAGCCAGGCCCACGCGGGAGCAGAGCCCGAGAGCAATGGCTTAATCACGGCTCGGTGGAACCGATCTGTCGTGCCAAGTGTTGAACGCAAATAGGACCACCATTTCGGTATCTGAGCCTGTGTACGAAGGCAGAGATCCTGGGGAAGTTGGGGTCCCAGGGCAATGTCTGGATGCACCTCGACAAAGGAACTTTTTTTCGGGGCTGGGTGGTGGTTATGGGGCTTGAACTCAGTCTGGGTGCTGTCCCTAAACTTTTTTGTTTAAAGTTAGCGGTTGGTCACTTGAGCCACAGCTCCATTCCCAGCTCTTTTAATTGGAGATATGAGTCTCATGAAGATGGTTTTGAACCTTGATCCTCAGATCTCAGCCTCCCGAGTGGCTAGGATTACAGGCCTAAGTCTGTAAAGGAACTTTTGTTGTTTTTTTCCCTCCTAGAATCTTCTCTAATGCTGCTGGGGAGGTCCAGATCCTCTCCCACATTGGTCCTGGTTATCCTTGGGTGGGCAAAAAGCTAGCGGTGAACCCAATCCAGGGCGTAGACTTAGAGAAAGCTGAAGAGAGTATGGAATTGGGGTGTCTAGGGCAGCCACTACAGCCTGGAGCACAGGATTGAATTTATGACTGGGTCCCCAAACAGACAAAACAACAATCGTTCCATTCCATAGAAAGTTTCTGCCCCTCACCGATCTTCGACAAGTTTTTTTTTTTTTTTTTTTTGGGGGGGGGGAAAGACCCAGTGTAGCTTGGGAAATAGGGAGTCCCAGAGTCTGCTGGTGATCAGTGTGGGGAGGGCCTTAAAACAGCTCTGGGAGAGCCTTGATGAGCGAGGGCTGGGAGTCAGAAAGGAGCATCAAGGATTCAGGCAGTTCAACAATGGAAGGGTCTTGCTATCATTTCACATAAGGGAAGTGACTCCTGAGAGCCAGAGGCGGGACAGAGGCAGTAGGGCTGGAAGGGTAAGTGGGGGGGTGGGGGGGGAGGGATCTTGTCCTTTGTGCAGTGGAAGGCTATGTGAGATTTTACCCTTTCACCAGGCCAAGCCCCTCCAGCTGAGGCTGGGCCCTTCCACCCTGGGAGCATAGGTCTTGCCTATACAGGCCCTAGCTCTCAGGCCCCCAGATGACCACTGGGTACCATCCCTGCCCCCACTCCTCTATGCTGTTCACCCCGCTTCTGTCCTCCTCAGCTTCCAGCAAATGCCTTGCCCCACTCACTTCAGCAGCCCTCAGCCCCTGGTTCTTTCTCTTTATGGCTCCAGGCACCAACCTCCCCATGATGGAGGAGGAAGCTGGGTCCAGAGCTCACAGAGGCTGAGCCAGAGCCGGGGGCAAGACTGTCCCCAGGAGCGTCCCCCTCCCTACCCCCACCCTGCTCCTCCCCGGGGCTGCAGCACTCCCTGCCTTCTGCTGGAAGCCCCTTTCCAGCCTGCAAGCCCGGCCCCTGCTCCCTCCCATTCTTTCCTCCTTCTCTCCCTCACCAAGAGCGCTGAGCTGTGGAGCAGAATGATTTCCTGTAATTGGCCAGCAATCCGGCCGCCCAGCTTGTTCTATCGACATGCTGGTTAGCTGGAAATTGTATTGGAATCTGAGCGACAGGGAGTGGGGAGGAAGGTGGGGAGCTGAGATGCAGCCTTGGGTCCCAGCTGGGAGCAGCCTCAGCTCTACAGGGTGGGAAGGGGTTGCAGGAGCCACCAGCTACCTCTTCTTTCCTGGAAGAAACAAGAAAGCAACTCCGGGCACCTCATTACAGTTCAGGTTGTGCCTTCTGTGCCCTGACTAGGGGCCTCCTCTGACCATCCCTGAGTACCCCATAACCTGAGGGTCACCACTGTCACCTCATTCCCTCTCCTCCCTGAGACTGTTTTCTTCTAACCTCAGCGTCTTTGTGAGGACAAAGAGCACTCAGCAGACACTCCCATCCAATTTCTGGCCATGAGGACTATGGAGAGTCCCAAGGCATCCCTGGTTCTTGCTCTTTCTGTCCCCCTTGTTCCCTTAAGGATAGAAAGCCAGAATATCGGAAGAGCTGACAATTACTAGATAAAAGTGCTGCTAGTTGCAAGAGCACTCTGCTGGGAGTCCAAAGCCATGGCAGTCATGCCTGCTGTCTGTTTATACCCCAGACTCAGCCCCTGAACGGGTCTGGCCCTCCCTCCCTCCGTGGAAGAGCTGGGAGCTTGGACATCACTGGTGAATCTGCCTTGTAAACTGCAAAGCTGCTGCTCGCCCTGTAGCAGCCTGGTCTTAGGGATGGAAATGGTTTTAGGAGCCCAACTGGGCATGTGATCCCCTCTCCCCTCATAAAGATCCGCAACCTACCTAAAAAACAAACAAACAACAACAACAAAAACGGGTGCAGGGGTATGGGCATGGCGCGTATAGGACCATGTGTGAGGCCAACGGGTGGGATAAAGTTGGTCCTGGGGAGGGCTGCCTGCCCAGCCCGAACCTGGGCCTGTGCTGCCGCCTGCTGGCCGCAGGGGATACTTTCTGCTCCAGCGTGGCGTGGGCCATCTTCACGTGCCATCAGTAACGTCAGTCCTACTCCAAAAAAAAGCAAGGTGGTCCTAAGACCACCTTGGACCTCCAAATTTGGGTCAGGGAGCAGGAGGGAAGGCTGGTACAGGTAGGCCCAGGGAAGAACTTGGCTTCTCCACATCTGCCAGCCTGAGTCAAGAAGTGAACTGTACTTTCTACTTCACAAAATGCTTTCACTGTCTTCCATTTATTAGTGCCTATGATATAAGCACTACACACCTACTTGATAGGAGAAACTACCAGGTTTTTATTCATCCCCAAGAGGGTTACAGGTTCCATTGCATGTAGGAGATAGAGCTGGATCCCAGTCCTGGGCTATTTCTCCTGGAGGAGGCTCTGGGCCTACACAGCTCAGAGCCTGGCTGTGAGACCCAAATCAAAGCCCTCCATTTCTGTGCCTGGAACTGTCACACACACACACACACACACACACACACACACACACACACACACAGCAGTGTCCAGCATCACAGACATTCCCAAAGTCATTTTCTCCATTACTAGTCTAACAAGGCACTGTGAAGGGTCACCTCTTCCCAATCCTGACAGGTCCTGCCCAACTGGGGAAGCGAGGAGCTTCTATCGCCTGCCCAACACTTTCCTCACTACCTGGCCCAGCCCTTCTTTGGGCCTGGGAGCATGCAGTAAATTAACAAGCTGGTCTCTGAGGTATGAACAGCCTTGGGAAAAGGGGTATTAAATATGACCACTACCACAATCACATTAGTCACACTCATTTCTGGCCTTATTAGGCTGCTGAGTGCAGGATCCACACATCAGCAGGTCTGCAGGCGCTGGTAGGGAAGGCTAATGTCTGTAGTCTAATTGGTCTGAGTAAGAACGAGAGCAGTAGAAGTGTAGGAGGTGCCATGTAGCCTGGGCACCTCCACTACCTCTCCCTGAGGCCTGCAAGACCCACTGGCGTGCTTCTGAGTCCCAGGCTTCAGTGTGAGAAGAGACCCTGTGGAACCCCACGTGGGTATTTCAGATCAACAATTTATTGAGCACCAACAGTGAGCAGGCTCTAGACTAGAACCCCGAGATGACTAAGACAGCCCTGCCCTGAAGTGGCTTACAGTCTCCAGAAAACCAACCAACTTCTGGCTGATTACTATATCATCGCTTAAAGCAAAACAGGGAGTTTGGTATCGCAGAGCACCTAACCCAGCCTGGGGCTTCAGATGGTGTCTGAGTTGGTTTAGCCAGTTGGAAGAGGAAAAAGAAAAGCAGGCCAGGGAGCATACAGGCGAAGGCACAGAAGTGAGAGAGCACTGGGGTGTGTGGAGTAGTAGGAGTTCAGGGCTAGGAAGCTGGTGGCAGGGTGAGGGAACACTGGAGAAAGCCAGTGAGGAAATGGGTTAGAAAAACTCTGCCTTGGGGCTGGGATGGTGGCTCAGTGGCAGAGTGCTTGCCTTGCATGCATGAGGCCCTGGGTTCGATTCCTCAGCACCACATAAGCAAAAAGAAAAAAGCCGGAAGTGGCGCTGTGGCTCAAGTGGTAGAGCGCTAGCCTTGAGCTGAAGAGCTGAGGGACAGCGCCCAAGCCCAGAGTTTAGGCCCCACGACCGGACCCAAAAAAAAAACAAAAAAAACCCTCTGCCTCTGCCTGGCCACGGCATTTCTAATGAAATGATCCATGCTGTATTCTGGCCAAAGGCTTCAACCTAGAGGAGAGTCCTGTTTGAAGTTGAGAAGCCCTTGCTCCCGAAGGGTTCCCTAGGATTTACTAAGAAGGTTTTGGTCATGATGGGATAGATGTTCAGAGAAGCCAGGAAACCTCTGGCAGTCCAGATGTGAGAGCTGCAGAGACTGTACCCTGCCCACAGGCCTAAGTGGAACCCACTTCCTGCCATGGTGGATATTATTCTGTAGGAACTGCAAAAAGAAGGAGAGGTAGAGAGGAGGGCAGGGTGGGAAGGAGCACCTACTGGCAGTGACCTGTTGCTTCTTGATCTGTCAGGATGTGATCCAAAGAAGGGCTGGCCCAGCACAGGCACTGACTCAAACTCTGTGTGTGTGTGTGTGTGTGTGTGTGTGTGTGTGTGTGTATGTGTGTGTGTGTGTGTGTGACTCAAACTCTGTGTGTGTGTGTGTGTATGTGTGTGTTTAAAGACACATATCTGACTTGAGCCTCATTTTCTTTGTTGGTGCGTCCAGCTAAGGAGAAGGCAGAAGGTAGCGGGTAAGCAGGTACAGGAGGCTGGCAATGGCAGCCAAACCCATGAGGGCCCCGAGCCTCAGTGGCAGGTACTCCAGGGAGTGCTCCAACTTGGCATGCAAGAGGACGATCTGGCGTTTGGTGATGCTCCACTCGCCTGAGTTGTCTAGAATATGGTTGGCCATGCGGGCCTTGTCCTTCAGGGGCAGCTGGGCCTTGATCCGTGCTTCTGCATCCTCTCGGTTTAGGTTATTCCGCTTCATCAGCCGGGCCAGCTGTGTGTCTCGATCACTAAGAACAGGACAAAAAGGAACTATAGGCCTCAGCCTCCCTTTTACCAGCAAGATAAAATGGGCAGCTAAGTCAGTCCTGGCCTGGAATCGAGGCTGGGCTGAAATCTTCCCATGAATCCTCTGTTCTTTGGGTTCCCACAACCAGAGAGGGACGACTGGAAGAGCTCACTAGCTCCCTCCTGCCTCACCTCACCGTTATAAGGACCTTATAACTCTAGGAGCCATCTAAGCTTCTAACCCTAATAAGGAGGCACAGCTATGCTTTGCCATCTGGGGGGGGGGGTTTCTCCTTGGCTCCTGGACTGTGACTTGGTCACGTATCAGCTACATCCTGGATCCCCGCATAGGCCTGCATTCCCAACCTGGATGCTCCCTGAACTTCTCGGAGGTGGGGGGTGGGGGAACACCTTGGTCCTGTAGTATCACAGCTGACTCCTGGGCCACACGGAGCCTCCTTCCCTGCCGCCACATCCTATCTCAGTACATTTAGAGCAAAAGACCATGCTGAGACAGCGGCTGCTGTGCTTCCCGCCCCTCACGAAGTAGAGTGAATAAGCCCGAGGTACTTCAAGAAGAGCAAAGACTTGAAGCATAGACCCTCGGTCTCAGGACAGGACTAAGCACTGCAGTTAAGCTAAACTACATCTAGTCTCCCAAAACCTTAAAAAAAAAAAAAAAAAGCCTTTCACCCACCTCTATAAGGCCATCAGAGTCCTTCCTCAGGAAATTCCTCTCCTGCCTGAGACTGGAGGAGCTGCCCTGCAAGGCTGATGGTGGTCAACCCTCTAGTACGCAGTCCCCGGAGCCCCTTCTCTCCAGGAGCTACCTCAGTAATAGGATCTCTGTAAGCTTCCATAAGCAAGGGAAGGGTGCAGGTAAGGAGGCGTCCTGGGGTTGCAGAGGCTGCTGTTGTTTTCTTACCTCCACTTGATCCTTAGTTATCAAGTTCTAAGTATGTTATACAGGGCATCCCTCCTAGACTCATCACTCTTCCACAAGTAGGGATCAAAGAACCCACCGACTGAGATTATAGCTCTGTGGTAGAACATTTTCCTAAAACATCCTAGACCCTAGAGGTTTAATTCTCAACACTGTCCCTCAAACCACCACCACCCAAAAAGAAAAAGCAAGAGAGGTAGCAACGTTTGCATGGAAAAGTATGGCGCAATGGGAAAGCCAGGATGCCTGAGTCCCCACAAGGCTCAAGGGATTCAGACTGAGTTTTAAGTGACAGCTCATGAGGGACTTGGAGAAAAGGAAGGGCTATGCTCACCTCCAGTGTACTAGAAAGCTCCTATGTTTTAGTCTCTTGAGAGCCACCCTGTGCCCAAAATACCTGCAGAGTCAAGTGCCCACCTATGTGTCTGCTGTAGCTGTGCGTAGCACAACACTCATGAAGCTTCTGGGAAGCAGAAACGCCCCATAGCCTTACCTAGTCTCTCACCCTTTGGGGACTGTGACTCATGTTTGATTTCTTCTGTTCACCAAACCTGGGCTCTAGTTTCTTCATGTCCTGGGGGATTCTGAGAACAAAGCTACCTCCTCAGCTGGGCTCTGACAGCTTCCTTCCCATAGCTTCCTGTTGCCAATAGATGACTTTAGACAAATTCTTTCACTACCTTCAGTTTAGTGTCTATGGATCCCTGTACTGAGCATCTCATGCTGAAAAGTGAATGAAGCAGCATGTGTAGGAGTTGTTCTGAGAGTTGAAGGAAGCCTATAACAGCACAGTAGCCAGGGGCGAGGCCTGGCATCTGGCTGAAGCACCCTGAGCAGCCACCAGGGGGAGCCCTTCCCATGCATGAAAGAGGCCCCCTCACAGCCCACACATGCCCTGGATGTGTGTGACACAGGCACAGAAGTTGGTTTCTATAGGCTTGGGCACTACTGCTCTAAGCCTGTGTGTGCTGGTCACTCCTTGGGGAAAAGGCAAAAGGATGTGAGCCATTTCCCTGGCACATGCCTCACTTTTCCACTCGCAATGAGCCACGCCAGGCCACACACTCACCAGTATACTACCACTGTATGCTTCATGTATTTGAGCAGCTTCTTGGTCTCAAACAGAAGGGGGATATCCAGGATCACGTAGCGGTATCCTGGGAAAAGATGGAAAACCCTTGTGTTCAATTCTGTAAGCATGCCACAGGACCCTGTATGTGACTGGTCCCTACCATCTAGAGGACCCCAGCAGAGGGGACACATTCCAAGGGCAGCTAGACCCTGGATAGCATCCAGTTCCATTACCATTCAGAGCAGAATGTTACAGAAAATCATTTCTGGCTGTCTAGAAAGGTTGGCATCTGTACTGGTCTTGAAAAGCAAGGAAGAGCCTTGATACTTGAAATGAGGTCAAGGTGAGGAGACCAGGAATGAGGAATGGTAGAGCCTGAGAAGCAGGGAGGTTCCCCTGTGCCCAAGTGGTAGACTCATGCAGTGTAGTAAAGTTGACGAGGTGGGTCAGGGCAGGCATGGAGGGTTTACTTCCCCTTGTTTTTCAAACTCAAAAGTTATTCTATTTAAAAAAAAAAGTTATTCTAAAGCTGGGTACTGGTGCCTCATGCTTGTAATCTTAGCTACTCACGAGGCTGAGATCCAAGGGTTATTGGTTCAAAGCTAACTGGGGCAGGAAAGTTGAGAGTCTTATTGCCAATTAAACAGCAAAAAGCTGCAAGTAGAGTTGAGGCTCAAGTGGTAGAGTGCTAGTCTTGAGCAAAAAAAAAAAAAAGAAGCTCAAGGATACTGCCTGGGCCCTAAATTCAAATTCTAGTACTGGTGCACATGCGCACACATGTGTGAGCATATGTGTACACACATACACACACAAGTTGTTCTGAGTAGGAACATGACATAGGGTTGTAGGAGACTGGGGAGAGTTTCTGGGAGTAGGTGGGCTCTTTCTGCCCTACTCCATTCTATCTTTGCTCAAAACCACCCAAAATGTAGGTTCTCCCCATAGCCAAGACCAGGCCTAGGCCCATGCAGAAGAGTGCTGACGCTATCTCTACAGCTCACTATGAATCTAATGAAACAGGGCCAGCGGCAGCACCAAAAAGAAAGAAGCTGTTTCTTGCCTCAGAGGCAAAAGTTCCAACTAATAGCACACAACTCCCTCAAGGCCAGCACTACCAGCCCTCCCTGCACAGGACAAGCCAGACAGAGGCAGCACCCGTAGGTACTATGAGTGGCAAGTCCCCAGGCTGCCTGCTTCTGCTTTTCTTAATCTCCCAGAGAAGATAAAGCTGGGAGAGGCAGGAGAGGAGAGAAGGGGAGGGACACTGTCTCACTCTAGCCACAGAATCAAACACATGTCATACCAATTCAGAGGTGTCACAGGAAATCAGTGCTCTAAGTGTGATGTGGGGGATGGGGATAGGGAGGAGGTAACAACCTGAGTTGCTGGGGTTCCTATAGCTCAAGAAGCCTAAATGAAGCCTGGAGTTGAAAGCATGGTTCTGCCCACATCCTTAGTTTGTGGCTCCCACCTCCTACACATATGGCACTTAGCAAACCTCATCTGTGCAACAAGTAAAGGAATATATATTTCAGAGGACCACAGAAAAGATTAACTGAGTTTGGGACACGTATACATTACGACTTAGCCCCTCACTAAGCACCCCCTAAATAATACTTATTATTGCTTTTGTTCCCAGGAGGAAGAAGGCCAGCCAGGGCAGGTTCTCCCGCCCTCTAATGCATCCCCTTCAGCTCAGAGCAAGAGAAAAGAGCAGATTCTCTCTGGGCCTCTTATCTTCCTCTCCTGCTCAGCTTCTATTGCCTCGCCGCTAACTGTCCTTTCTCCTGGGTCTCTCTCGGGAGCTGGTGGTCAGCTCTTTGGTTCACCGGCAAAGGGCTATTCAGCTGTCACATCCCTCTTGCTTGATAAGCCCTGCAAACCATCCTGACTCTATTAAGACATCCGCCAGCCTATGCAGAGACCTCCCCAACAGCTGGTGATCTTATCTGACGTTTGATTATACCAACTTTGACAGTTGTATTTGTTATACTCATCAGGGAAAAACTGGGACTATGGAAGCCACAGCTGTCGTCCCCATTTTTCACCTTATCGAGCTGAAAAGAGCTCTCTGGCTTTTATTTAACGGTGGTGGATGGGGAGGTGGGGAGACGGGGTGGGTGACACAGTGGGAGAGCTTTGGAGCGGGTGACATTATCCGATGCTTAATTTCAGAAGGGAAGAGCCCGCTGGTGCCTTGCAGCCCTGCAGATGTACTTGTAACTGGCCTGGGAGCAAATGCAAAGGGCAGGAATGAGAGGCAGAAGGCTTCGCTAGTGAAGGGGGAGGGGGACAGGGACTGGCAGACATGGGTAGAAGGGCAAAGGCAGAAAGTACAGACTCTTTTTGAGAGAGGAGGCAGGGATGGGGCTGCAAAGGGACATTGGGACAGACAGCACAAGTCGGCCCAGAGATACAGATGCCAGGAGCCAGCTCCAGCCCCAGCCAGAGCTATGGAAACAGAAAGGCAGGAGGAGTGAACAGCATGGAAGTTTGTCAAATCACCCTATTCTGGAAAGGGAGTTATTGGGCAGAGGGGCATGAGGGAAGGAGGTTCCTCACTCAGTACATGAGAACCTGAGGCATGATAGAAAAGGGGTTTGGCCATAGTCACAATATGAAGGCCTCAAGAAAACTCAAAAGGCAGCTTCATATCCCTCTAGTGAGGCCTCTCTATTCTAACTGATGGCAGCAGCCCGGCCTTCAACTCAAGAGGCCCAAGCAAGCTGGAGGACCATGGGGAAGATCTCCAGGCTAGTCTCTGCCTTTCCTTCTGGTGTCTGACTCTATCCTAGAAAGCTGTCAGGTCACTCCTGCCTAATACTGTCTTACAGAACACAGTGAAGGTTCTTGCTATCTGACCAAGGACCCTGACTTTTCAAACACTCTTCTTTTCCATCTTGCCACATCCCTGGCTGCCCTGGACCTTCCAGGCTAACTGCCTCTGTGGAGGCCTAGTCCCAGAAGAGGATCCTCTCCTGAGTTCCCTTCCCCCTGGCCAGCACCAAAACCAACTGACTATGCTTTCTATTTGTGGGACAATCAGGTCACTGACATGAATACTGTCTTCCTACAGCTTTTCAAGGTTGGCATCTTCCCAACAGCTGAGGAAACAGACCATTCAACCAATTGACACAACTAGATACTATCAGAGCCAAGACATGACTTCAGGTCTGCAACTACATCATTCATCAGCTTTCATTACAGTACTTCTTACTTCCTGGGGATCACGGCTCAAAACTCTCACGTGCCTCTTCTCATTAAGCTGTCAACTTCCTAAGATGTAAGGGACTATGCTTGCTTTCTCTAGGGTGTGGCATGGGACTATGCAGAGGGGAATGCTAATAAGCAGTGTGAAGTCTGCAGCCTGGATGACCAGTTCTCCTTCCCTGACCCCAACCTTCACTGAGAAAAAGCCCCAGCCCTACAGGGGCTCTGCACCCCTGCCAACCCTTCCTAAGGTCTCACCCCGGAGGAAATACTTGAAGGTCTCCTTCATCATTTCCTTGTGGATCTCAGGGTGAGTGATGGAGTTGAGCAGCTGGCGCTGATCAGGCTGGTTGAAGATCAGGTCCCCTAAGACCTTGCGATTGATGTTTCCATCCTCCAATAACACCTCAGTGCCAAAGGCCTCTACAATGCGCTGGTGAGCAGGGAACCCCGGCTGGACAACTGTGGTAGGAGAAGAAGAGGCAAAATGATGGGGGAACCCACGGTTGCTTCTTTCCGTTGGAACAGAAACAAAATAGGGAGCGGGGAGAAAAACCAGTGAGGAAAGAGCAGAACCCTCAGGCTTGATGGGGCATGAAAGAGCCTGATAGACCAGGCAAAGAGGAGGTGAGCAGGCAAACTGGGGCAGGTAGGAAGGCAGATCAGGGCCAACAACAAAGCCTTTCTCCTTCAAGGCCTCAAGAGGACTTACAAAAAGAAGGAAACTAATGGAAGAAAGGTAACACAGGCAAGGTTCTGTGGGCAAGTCCATCTCCCCTCCAACTCACCATGCCGGGCAATGACATCCACGTCAATCACTGCACAGCCCAGCTGCTGGAATACCTGGATCACAGAGCTCTTGCCTGAGGCAATGCCCCCTGTCAGGCCTACCAGGAACATCTTCTGGGGAAAGAGGAAGTTCAGCCAGACTGGAAGCTGGAAGCCAGGGAATCACTGGTGAGAAGATCAACACCAGAAGGACCTGCTGATAGAAGCAGACAGGCCTGGTCAGCACTGGGCTGCCACAGGACTCGGGGAGGAAGGCACAGGAAGGAAAGGGAAACACGGCAGGGCAGGAAGGGCCCAAGTCTAGGCTTGGAGAGCTCTGAGGTTTCTGAAGAAGAAACACTGTAGTATTTGTTAAGCAGCACTGATACAAGGCTGGCTCAAATGGTAGAGTCCTTGCCTAGCAAGTGTGAGGCTCTAACTCCCAAATGCACTATCACCAAAAAGAAAGAAAGGGAAGGAAAAGAGGAACAGGAGAAGAGTAAGGGGAGGGAAGAAAAAGGAAGGAAGGAAGGAAGGAAGGAAGGAAGGAAGGGAAGGAGGGAGGGAGGGAGGGAGGGAAGGGAAAGAAGAGAAGGGAAAGAAGGGAAGGGAAAGGAAGGGAAGGGAAGGGAGGAAGGACAAGTCAATTCAGCAGGTAGGGCATGGTTGAGGCTGTTAGGTAGAATGCTCAGTGGAAGGAGCAGGCTCTGTTGCTGGCAGACTTCCTACAGGAAAAAGACATCTGTCAATCTGTGGTGAACCCAAGACACCCTCAGATCTCCACAGACTTTCCCTCTAGTCTGGGACACTATGGTTCTGCCTGAATCAGGAAGAACCAAAATAAAGTCTGGACGCCCAGGCCTTCTTTACTTTTTTGGGGGCAGGGAGGCAGGGGCAATACTGAAGCTTGAATTCAGCTCACCTCATGACTACTTGGCTTGCTTGCTCCCTGCTGGCAGAAGCCACTGATGCCTGGACGGAAGTGAGGCTGGTGACTAGGATGGAGGGAGGAGTAATACTGTGAGGCACAGGAAAACAAAGAAACTGACAAAATCATGCCCACTCCTACCACCTCAGCAGCCCCACAATGGTCATGCTACATTTTCTGCAGTGAATTGGGTAACCATGTCTTAGACTTCATGCTCTGGCTGGAAGCAATTTTATCAAACCACCCTTCCTTCAGCATCAAGTCCCTTCGTCAGGTCTTTGAAATCTGTCATAGGACCTATTTGTTAAACAGCAGATTTGCTGTCCTAATTATACTCTGCTCAGGCTTAGCCTGAAACGAGTTTGCCTCCCCTGATGACAAACCAAAGCACAGGGGAGGCAGCTGCTCACATATGGGCTGAGTGGGTGTGTGCCTTGGGATGGCAGGGAACCAGCCTTAAGTTTAAATCTGCCTGGGCTCATTCTCACCCAGGGGCTCAAGGGCAGAGAGAATATCTACCATTTTCCTCATCCAGAGATCCAACTAAAGCAAAAAGGAAGTCTAGAGTATGGTTTAAGTAGTAGTGCAAGTGCAAGGTTCTGAGTTCAAACCCCAATACGGAGAAGTTGGGCCATTTAGCTGAAGATGTGCAGTAGAGAATACACCACCAGTGTTTTGTTTTTTTTTTCTTTTTTCTTTTACTGGGATGGAGAATACTGAGGATTGAACTGACATTTGCTAGGCTGGTGTTTATCACGAGCCATTCCTCTAGCCCTGCTGCTTTTTGCTGGTTATTTTAGAGATGGAGTCTAGTGAACTTTTCTGCCTAGGTTGCCTTAAACAGTGACCCTCCAGATCTCAGCCTCCTAAGTAACTGAGATTAAAGTTAGGAGCCACTGGTGTCTGGCTCTCCCAACCAGGGCTGCTTTCATTAAAGTAAGCTTTTCTTCTGCTGTAGACCAGTCTGGAGGAGCAAGAGTGGGAAAGGTCAAAGTCTAGTGAGAAGGCAAAAGACAGGGCTCTGATCTCTTGAGTCATTAAGGCAAGCTTTTGTCACTCCTTTGCCAGGCTAAGATGAAGTGGCCTGGAAGACCAGCTGGCATAGCAGATCCCAATCCACCTGTACATAGATGCCCAGACCTGTCCTGAGACTTGGTGAACTAGATTCTCTGGGGAGCAGGAATTAGACTAATTCTTCACTCATAGACATAGTGAGCAGAGACATTAGGGACCTGCCCAGGCCATGGCTGTTAGCAGAGGCTTGGGTAGACTCTGGTCTTTAATGTACTCAAGGAAGGAACAGCTAACTTAAGACTTCCAAAATAAGAAAGGTGAACCTATCTAGAAGCAAACGGATTCAGTAGCGAAGAGAAGTGATTTCTTTCTTCCTTTCATTCTTTCTGTGGTTTAGGGCCTTGTGTTTGCTAGGCAAGTGCTCAATTACTTGGGTCACCTATCTAGTTGGATAAATACTGCAGTGTTTTCTTTTGCAGAATGGGAGCAAGAGCTTCAGCACCCCAATGTAAACTGTAGGCTCTCAGGGAAATCTAATGAATAGTTTCCTTTCTCTTCTCAGTGTCTTGGATGGCCATCTGTGGGAACAGATGGGTGGTTGGCCTCTGTGAGGAAGGCCAGGGGGACAGACAAGCATGTGTCTGGGGAGGGTCTGGACTGCTGGCCTGAAGGGGCTGAGTACCAGCTGCTACTGTCCAGCAAGCCCCTCAGCGGCTCATTCCTTTACCAACTGTTGACTGAGACTCTGTGTGCTTGGCCACAATGGTTGCGATGACCTTGGTCTTGACCATGGGGAAACTGGAGACAGGAACAAATGAGAACAGCTGGGAGGAACAGAGCACTGACAGGAGCCCAGTGTTCACCTGGGCCAGCTGCTGTGTGAGCTCCTTCCACACTTGCTGTTGGGGGATATGGGAAGAAGACCCACAGCAAAGCAAGGACCCTCCTGTCAAGGCCTAGCAAAGGGGCAATGGAGGCTTAGCTGCTATGCCTTCTTCAAGTCCCACTCAAACTTGCTAGCAGCTTCCCCAGGCACACATGGCCAAGTTGAGAACCCATATTCATGATTCTGTTCTTCCTGCTCTGAATCAAGTCATTATTCTCCACAATCCAATACATTTTCCTCATTCCGCTCTGACTTTCACAGAGCAGAGGGACTGATGCAGGACAGGTCAGGGAAAATGAGGCATGAGAAACAGAAGCCAGGAATTCAGAGACAAACATTCTATCAGCGAATAGCTTGACTGAAAGCACATGGCAAGACTTCTTTTACTTGAAGCTGCATAATCCCTCTCTAAACTACACCTATGGTTTTTTGTTTTTGTTTTTTAAATTTTATTTTATTTTATTTGAGAACATACTGTACAGAGGGGTTACAATTATATGGGCAGGATAATGCATACATTTCTTACCAAGCATTGCAGCCTCCTCCTTTGTTTACCCTTCACCTCCCTTCCCAGCCTCCCCTCTCCCCCCCACCCAATCATACCCCCCCTCCCTCATTGTTTTTGTTTTTTTAAAGCAGCTTTCTCCCTCGACCTTGCTTGCTTGCCCAAATGATTACTGCAGTCTGAGAAATGACCAAGAATATCTTAAAGAATGACTTATCCTGGGGAAAAAACATTTGGCAAAATAACTTCTGTGATCAGAGAAGTGTTTACAAAGGGGAAAAATTATCTGTTTTTTTTTTTTTTTTGGGGGTCCGGTTGTGGGGCCTTAACTCTGGGCCTGGGCGCTATCCCTCAGCTCTTCAGCTCAAGGCTAGCACTCTACCACTTGAGCCACAGCACCACTTCCAGCTTTTTTCTTTTTGCTTATGTGGTGCTGAGGAATGGAACCCAGGGCCTCATGCATGCAAGGCAAGCATTCTACCACTGAGCCACCTTCCCAGCCCAGGAAAAACTATCTTAAGGAGCTTAAGCTCCTAGCTTAAAAGATGCACCAGGTGAAAGGCATCCTTTGTTTAAAGGAAAAGAAGACATTCCTGCCACAATGACCCAAATGTAGTAGACTGACCAGTCCGAATATCTCAGTGTACCAGCAGGAAGGGCTGAATATGCCAGGTTTCCAGAACAAACGGCAGCACTTATCCTAAGGTAAATTTACACTGGAAGCCCCAGCCCGATTTTTTTATATAAATTCCCCTGGGTACATGAGAACTCTCAGGTGCCTTTTTTTTGGTGCCAGTACTGGGGCTTGAACTATGGGCCTGGATACTGTCCTTGAAACTTTGTGCTCAAGGCTAGTACTCTACCATTTGAGCTGCAGATTCACTTCCAGCTTTTTGTGGTTAATTGGAGATGCCCAGCTTACATGCCTCTTACTAGATGCACTCACACCTATTTTTATGAGTGTTATACCCTGCTGTGCCCTGCCCTTCCCCCCCTTTCCTAATAAACTTTCTTAGGTTCTACCTTTACATATCCTACTAAAGTTCTTTTTTTGAAACAATATCATGAACCTGGTACCCACGGGCGGCAGAAGCCTCTTTCCTTGGGAAGATCTCCCCCGCCAGAGCCTCACTCACTGGCTATGGTGTGAATCCTCTATGAAACTGTCAAATGGTTCAGAAAGCAAGCTCTACTCCAGCCTGACTAATCAGAAGCAGCTAGGTCAGAAGCAGCTAAGAGGCCTGAGTCCTAGTCTCTGAACTCTGCCATACAACTTCAGGGAGCTATCTCACCAGCCTGGCTCATGGTGGACAGTGCTCCATAAATGACAAATAGTACAGCCCCAAAGGCCTTGCTTGCCTTCTCTAGGTCTCAGCCTCCATACACGTGAATGGGGCTGGGCTCCCAGTGTCAGGGCTGGCTGGGGCAGCTACTGGGAGAGGCTGTGAAGTTCATGGATACTTCTTCCTCTCCTGGGCATAGTTAATATATGTCCATCTGTGAACCAAGGAATGCCATGGCCAATCCTCTGTATGTCAAAGGCTACTGGCAGAGCTTGACAAGAGAGAAGCTAATGCTCAGTGCAGGAAAATGGAAGCTGGAAAAAAAGTAAAACTTTGATCTCAAGGGAGCCACATCCAATGCTCACCGCCCCCCCCATCCCCCCTCCTCACATACACACACAATTCTCCATGACAGTGGAAAGTCACAGAGTGTAGAGAAAAGGTAACAGGGACTTCAAGGTAGAGAGCCAGTGTCTGCAAATCTGTAAGCTCAAGGCCTGAGAAGAGGATGAAATCCTTGTTTTTGTTTTTTGTTGTTATTTTGTTTTGTTTTGTTTTTTTGCCAGTCCTGGGGCACTATCCCTGAGCCTCTCTGTGCTCA